ACCCCAGGCACATTAACAGAGCAGACATGCAAGTGGAACAGACAGGAACTGAAATGGGACTCATATTGGATGCCTACATTGCAGGTGAAAACTGACCCACTGCAACACAGCAGGGGTCCCAGCTTCTCTCTTAGAGTTCTTCATACAGTGTATATCTTACTGCTATGAACTATAGCTGCCCCACTCTGTGTGGAACAGTAAACACGGTAACTGTGTGTGAACTCCTATTATTTGGAAAAACTGAGGCAATGAGATTTTATAGTTTATTTTGAAATATGACTAATTAATATACAATAGTGGATTTTCAGTTTTTAGAAGGAAAATGAAAAAATAAACAATACCAAAACCATAACTAACAAATTCACATATCAGGTTCTTGACATACCACCATTATCATAATGAACACATATTAGGTAATCAAATACTTATTGATTTGAATTCTAAACTTTAAAGTAGGTAGTCAAAAAATTAGGCTGAAAATATGCTGACTCCGTGGTTGGTATATTTTAGAAATTGCTTCAAAATTCCTTGTTATCAGTTTGTTTACTTGTCATTTTTATCTTCACATGAAAGTAAATTGTAGGTTGAAAAACTTCAGTTATCTGAATTTCTTATTCATTTGCACTGCAGAATAACATTTTAAAGTTCTAAAATATCTTCAGAGTTGACAGACTTCTGAAGTGTTTTTCCTTTCAGTTTTGGTGCCAGGAATAAGCATTAATTTGTACCCTTCTTAAGTATTAGAAGAGATCTAAGGTCTATTGGGGATGAATTGTTTGTCTCGGGCCTGAAAGTGAGAACTGGTATAGACCAAAGTTTCTTTGTGGATAAAGATGAGCTTGAGTCCTGATGCAGCTCCTTCTAGGCTGTGTTGTGTGATCAGCAACAGATTATTTAACCCCTTTCTTGGGGCACTATTTAGGCTCCTCATCTATGGAATAAGGGCACTTAACAGGTTAATGAGTATTAAAGCTTTGAGCTAGAAAGCTGCTGATATAAAGATCTGCAAAGGGCAGCTATTTTCCTCCTTAGAGTTAAGGCTATTAATTATCATTTAAAGCTACCAGGCGGGCCCAATAATGACCCTTTAGAATGCTTTTTTTTAAAGATTTATTATTATTATTATTATTATTATTTTTATTGGAAAGGCAGATATACAGAGAGGAGAGACAGAGAGGAAGATCTTCCGTCCGATGACTCACTCCCCAAGTGAGCCGCAACCGGCCGATACTATGCCGATCCGAAGCCAGGAGCCTCTTCCGGGTCTCCCACGCGGGTGCAGTCCTCGACTGCTTTCCTGGGCCACAGGCAGGGAGCTGGAAGGGAAGCAGGGCTGCCGGGATTAGAACCGGCGCCCATATGGGATCCTGAGCATGCAAGGCGAGGACCTTTAACCACTTGCGCCACCGTGCCAGGCCCAAGGAGAGGACTTTTAAGGTCATTAAGCAAGACAACTATGAGAAAGGGTCAAACTGCTTTCTGGAGTGGCCATTCCACTTAGAATGTAGGAATACATATGAGAATTTCAGTTGTAGTGCATCCTCACTGACACTGGATATTGTAATCTTCAAAAAATTTTTAGTTTTTCTGATAGATGTGCCATGGTACCTCATTGTGGTTTAAACAATTACACTGAACATCTTTTCATGTACTTATTTATAAATCACATATGTCTTCTTTGTTGAAGTGTTTGTCAAACATTTTGCCCAATTTTTAACATAGTTGTCTGCTTGGTGACTTTTGTGAGTTCTTTGGATTTTATTTATTTACTATGGGCTACTGCGAAATTTGCAAATTCTTTCTCTGGGTTCATGGTTAGGACTTTCTATTTTCTTAACAGTTTTTCAAAAATTTGAAGTTTGGCATCATGTCTAAGTATTCAATTTTCTTTTAAAATTTTACTTCTTTTTATTATCATTTTATGATACAGTTCCATAGATCCTGTGATTTCCCTTATCCCCTCCCTCCTCACTGAGTTTCCCTATTTCGTTCTTCATACACAGTCATATGTCCATCATGGCGGGCATGGACAATGGCAGAGAGTCCACCTCATGTCACTGCTATTTTGTACACTTTCTTCTAAAAACTTACAATTGTATGTATACTGATATCTGAGGTCCATATTCAGTTAATTTTTATATAAGATGTGAGGTTTGAATTTCATATTTTTCAGGCTACAATTGTTCAATTGTTCCATTGCTGAGAAGACAATGGTTTTTATCAAATTTACATTGACCTTTAGTACCAGGCTATCATTAGGAAGTTTGCTTCGAAGTGTTACAGAGCACATATGAGTTGCCTGTGTTGCAGGAAGCAGCTATTTTTGGCTATGCCACAATGCCTGCCCCAGAATTGACACTAAATATTGTTTTTTAAAAAGGATAACAATATTTGTGGGTCTGTGCCTATATTTCAGCAATCTTATATATTTCTTCATCAGTAGCACATTTCCAGGATTTACTAAACTTTAATATAATTCAAAAACTGCTTCCAACTTTGCTAAGTTTTAAAATTACTTTTGGCTGTTCCAGGGTTTTTTTTTTTTTTTTTTTTTGCCTTTCCATATAATTTTTAGAATTATTTTGCACTGTATTTTTTTTTGAAATCCTGTTGGAATTTCAACTGGAATTTCTTTGGAAAACATCCCTTAACTTCTTTGATTATGTCTCCACTCATGGGCTACATTGATTTATTTCATCAGTATTGTGTAATTTTCAGCATGCGAGTCTTGCAAATATTTTGTTATATTTATAGTTAAACACTTCCTTATTTTGGAGCTGTTGAATTTCAAAAAAATAACTTCTGTTTCTAATTGATCATTACCAGCGTCCTGAAGTAAGACTAAATTTTGTACTGATTTCTTGAGACCTTGCTAAATACATTTAATAGTTATTGGCATCTTTTGTGAACTAGTATTTGTTTCTTTGTTTATGTAAATGAGGGAAGTTTTATTACTCATTTTCCAATATCTATGATTGTATTTGGTTAACATGCCAGTTGTAACATATTTTCTGTGTTGAGGCATTGCATGCAAGTCCTGGCTCCATTATCAGCCCTAGCTCTCTGCTGATACACACCCTGGGAAGCAGCAGCGAATAGCTCAAGCACTTCATCCCTGCTACTCCATCGGGTTCCCAGATTTACCTCTGGGCTTCTAGCCTGAATAAACCCCCTACCTGTCTCTCTGTCTCTCTCCTCTCTCTCTTCCCCTCTTCCTTCCAAGTTAATTTTTAAAATTGCTTAATTAAAAAATCTCAGTACTTACAATGTTGAATAGGAAAGATGAATGAAGCCATTTTGGCATGGGCATTGTGCACATCAGAATAAGCTGTCTCTTGGCATACTGGTATCTCGTATCCAAGTGCTGATTTGAGTCCTGGCCTCTCTGGTTCTGTCCCAGCACCCTGCTTGTGCACCTAAGAGGCAACAGGAAACAGTGCAAGCACTTGGCTTTCTGACACTGGAGGAAACTTCAAGTTTCTGGCTTTAGGCTGGCTCAACTCTTGTTGTGTGGACATTTGGGGAGTCAGTCAGCTCATGGAAGATCTTTCTTTCTGTTTCTTTCCCCCTTCTGCCTTTAAAGTATATGGAAATAATAAATGCATGTTTTTAAAAAGAAAATGATCATTTTACTGTTGCTTCTGATCTAAGAAGGAGAACATTCAATTTTCACTAATAAGTGTGATATTAGCTAGAAGAGTTTTTGTTTTTTAATCATCATTTGGTAAATATTCTTTCATATGTTCAGGAAGTTATGCTGTATCCACAGCTTATTCAGTTTTTTTGTAAATCATGAAATTTATGTGAATTTTATACAATGACTCTTCTACATGTCTTGATATGATCATAGGAATTTTCTTTAAATATTGCAGATGTATAGATTTGTCATGGATCAAGTGGTCATTTATTTTTATATTGCTTCATAAAATATGAAGATATTATAGAGGATTTGGGGGACAATGTTCAGGAGTGAGTCTACTCTTTAGACTGATTTACTTGTCCTCTGCAGTTGGGATTAAAAGGATAAACAAATTTGAGAAGCATTCCCTGATGTTTTATTTTCAAGAAGTTAGAGAACTAATGCTATTTCTTCTTTTATAAAACACCAATGAAGCTATCTGAGCCAGTAGTGTTTTTTTTTTGTTTTGTTTTAAGGTTTTCTTTTTTTTTTAATTTAGTAAGTTCCATCTTCTTTACTAGTTGTAAGAACTACTCAGAATTTTTACTTTATTTGGAGTGAATATTAGTGGTTAATGGTTTTTGAAGTACTGGTCTATTTCACATAAATTACTAAGTTTATATGTAATTAATTATCCACAGTATTTCTTTATTTCTAATGTTTGTAGGATCTGCAATAATATATTCTATTTAGTTCCTGATACTAGTAATTTATATCTTCTCTGTTTTACTTTTCTAGTTTTTTATGGTAGAGATTAACCAAATTTGTTAAAATCATTTTAAAAATTAATTTTTGAAATCTCTATGCTGGTTTTATCTTTTCAGTTTCTTCTTATCTCAGACATATCCTACTACCTGCTTTGGATTTAGTTTCTCATCCCTGTTTCTTATTAAAACTTGCATTGTCAATTTTAAAACTTCTTCTTTTCTGACTTAACCATGAAGTGTTATCCATTTCTCCAAAAGAACAGCTTTAGAGGAATCCTTCAAATTTTAATATGTTAGATTTATGTTTTTAATGTAATATGTTTTTAAACATTTCTTAAATTTTCCTCTTTGACATACGGTTATTTATTATTATTTGCTTAATATTAACATGTTAAGAACATTTTACATTATGTTATTAGGTTATTGCTATTTGGTATGATTCTGCTATTCTCAGAGAAGACATTTTGTAAAATATCAATTTTTAAATAATTGTTAAATTTTGGTTGTAACCTAGAGTGTGGTCTGTATTGGTGATTGTTTCATATGCAGTTGAAAAGTTTGTGTACTCTACTTTTATCGGTTGAAATGTTCTATAAATTTAAGTTAAAATTTACTTGTTGAAAGTACCATTCAGTTCTTCTATATTCTTCTGAATGTTGTTCTATAATCCTGGAGATGCTGAGGTTGTGCAATATAATTATACTTATGTTTGTTTCTCTCTTCTGTAACTCTTGCTTCATGGATTTTGAAGCTCTCTTGTTAAGATTGCTCTGTCTTGGGCCCGGTGCAATGGCGCAAGTGGTTAAGGTCCTCGCTTTGCACGCACCAGGATCCCATATGGGCGCCGGTTCTAATCCCGGTGGCACCACTTCCCTTCCAGCTCCCTGCCTGTGGCCCGGGAAAGCAGTCGAGGACGGCCCAAAGCCTTGGGACCCTGCACCCACGTGGGAGACCCGGAAGAAGTTCCTGGTTCCTGGCTTCGCAACGGCATGGCATCGGCCATTGCGCTCACTTGGGGAGTGAATCATTGGACGGAAGATCTTCCTCTCTGTCTCTCCTCTCTGTATATCCACCTTTCCAATAAAAAAAATAATAAAAAAAAGATTGCTCTGTCTTAACTGTGCCAGACCCCGTATTGGGAAACGCACACAAGAATTAGGTCTAGGATGGCCTCAGATGAGGTTTCTTTGGCAATTCCCTACCAGCTGAACTGCTGGACTCAAAAACCCTAGCCATGGAGAGAATTGCAGATTCCATGGTCTGATCATGGAGTGCATGTGTCAGAGCTGGGCCTCAGTGGCTCAGATAGAGCAGTGGACAGAATATCCAAATGTACATGGAAGATACAGCAGTACATTGGAACCTCTGGAGGACACCTGGCACCATGGCAGAGGATGGAGGAAAGAACGCATTGTTCAACTACCCCAGCCAATCGTTGGCATTGAAGATTTGGGCAGTTGGAAACACCAAGGTGAACTATAGCAGCCAGTGGATTTGGGAGAGATTTCATCATGATTGGAGTAGCAGGATTGCCAGTAATCCAGGACTTTTGAGCTATCAAAACCTCTTGAGAAACTCATGGCATTGTAAATTTCAATTTTTTTCCCTGTTGCTGATTTTGTATTGTGGCTTTTCATTTAAGAGGGATGTGTGGTGACTGTGTAAATGGAGACTATCATGTCCAGATGTGAGGATGCAGTGCAATGTACATCTCTACTCCAAGATCAAAGACGGACTACAAATGAAACTATTAGCTATCTTGACACTAGGATGCTGGACTCTGTCATTGTCCATGCCCACAATGATGAACATGTGACTGTTTATGAAGAGCTATGTTATAGTAATAATATAGGAGAACTCAGTGGAGCGGAGGGGACTTGGGGAGGGGGAAGGGGAAATCCCAGGGCCTATGGAACCGTATCATAGAATGATGACAACAATTAAAAAAAAGAAGTTAAAAAAAAAAAAGATTGTTATGTCTTCTTGGTGAATTGATGGCTTTATTATTATGTAATATTCTTATTAACCACTTGAATTATCTTTTGATTAAAAAGGTGTGATATACCTCCTCCATAACTTCTATTTTTATTTACCTATATAGTTTTTTTTAATCTTTTCTGAAAAATTCAGCATTTTGAGTGATTTTTTGTGATAACTTAATTTTTAAATTTTTCCATAGTTTTCAAAATTTTATTATAATGTGTCTTGGCATGGCTTTTTTTGTGTTGACTTGCTTGAATTTAACTGAATTTCTTTGATGTGCAAATTGATGACTTTTACCAACATTAGGTAATTTTCAGCTATTATTTCTTTACATTTGTTTTCACATTTTTCTTTTCTAATAGAAATTTGATTACCCAAAGTTTAGACGTCTTGGTACTGTCCCACAAATTCTTTTCTTTCATCTTCATTTAGTTACGGAGCCATTCCAAATCTTACATTCAATCCAGACTTTATATTTTCCTTTTCCAATTGTTAAAAAGATTTATTTATTTTTATTTGGAAGGCAGATTTTACAAAAAAAGAAGGAGAGACAGAGAGAAGATCTACTGTTCACATCCCAAATGTCCCCAACATTCAGAGCTGTGTTGATCCAAAGAAGAGAGTCAGGAGCTGCTTCTAGGTCTCCCACATGGGTGCAGGGTCCCAATGACTTGAGCCATCCTCCTCTGCTCTTCCAGGTCACAAACAGAGTTGGATCAGAAATGGAGCAGCAAGAACAAAAACCAGCACCCATATGGGATGTTGGTACCACAGGCAGAGCATTAGCCTGCTGTGCCATCGTGCTGGCCCTCAGATTTTATATTTCCAATAAAACATTTTAGTAATTGCATTGATGCAAAATTCCAGTAAGTTAGATCAATGAGAAATTCTATTAGTGTTATGCTGAGTGTGTATATATTATGGTTTGTGAACATGTCTAAAAACTCATAAACACTCCTTTCATCAAAAAGTTCAGTTTAACTACTTTCCCTTTGATTACTGTGTGCTATATTAGTCACTTGCATCTCACAAATAGAATGCATAATAAAAGATTGTTGTGTTGCAATCTAGGTCATGATAGAACAGGCAATACAATTTCTTTGAGGCTCTCTTATTTGGAGCACTTCACCCAAGGATATTAGCTGCCATGTCATGACAACACATGCAGACAACACGTGTGTGGGGTTTTTTTTTTTAAGGATTTTAATTTTTGTTGGAAATTCAAATTTACAGAGAGAATAGACAGAGATCTTCTGTCTACTGTTCACTTCCCAAGTAGCTGCAATGGCCAGAGATGAGCTGATCCGAAAACAGGAGCCAGGAGCTTCTTCTGGCTCCCCCATGGCGGTATAGGGTCCCAAGGTTTTGGCCTGTCCTCTACTGCTTTCCTGGGCCACAAGACAGGGAGCTGGAAGGGAAGTAGGGCTGCCAGGATTGGAACCGGCACCCATATGGGACCCCGGTGTGTTCAAGGTGAGGCTACTGTGCTGGGCCCACATGTAAGTGTTTTAGCTGATATCCAGAACAAAGACTCCGTGAGATTTCTGGAATAAACTACCAGGCACTCTAGTGAATAAGAATTGAGATAATTAGGACCCGGCACAGTGGCGCAAGTGGTTAAGGTCCTCGCCTTGCACGCCCGGGATCCCATATGAGCGCCGGTTCTAATCCCAGCAGCTCCACTTCCCATCTAGCTCCCTGCTTGTGGCCTGGGAGAGCAGTTGAAGATGGCCCAAAGCTTTGGGAGCCTGCACCCTCGTGGGAGACCCAGAAGAAGTTCCTGGATCCTGGTTTCGTATCGGCATAGTATCGGCCGTTGTGCTCACTTGGGGAGTGAATCATCGGACGGAAGATCTTCCTCTCTGTCTCTCCTCTCTGTATATCTGCCTTTCCAATAAAAAAATAATAAAAATAAATCTTTAAACAAAAGAATTGAGATGATTGCCATTCGCAGCTTTTTAGCTGCTCAATTAAAGATAAGTGAGATATAGATGAACAGTTCCATTTGAGCTCTTCCCAATCTGCTGATTTTTAAATAAAATATATGCTTTGATAAGTCTGTATATCTTGGGGTTAGTTTGAAATCCAGTAATAGATAATTGGAATAGATTTTATTATTTGTTATCTTTAAGTATTTCTGTGGATACTACTACTATAACAAAACTCCTAAAATGTATAGAAATCACTTGGGAATCTCAAAGAAGGTGTTAATGAAAGCTTTAGAAGACCACTTAATAGATCTCCAAATGGCTCTTAAAGCTGTCAATGAGGACTTAAAGTGAGAAAATGTATTTGGAAGCTGAAGGAAAAGGGACATTTGGTATGCAATGACAAAAAGTTCACAATATTCTACAGCAACATGGAATATAGAAAGCATGCCTAAATGGAGTGGTAAACTAAAAAATATTATGCTCAGCATCAATGATATCACATCAAAAGTTGAGAAGATAGAAATGAAGTAACAAATAACTAACATAAAACAATTGTGAATTACTAGATTAAAAATGCCATTAGGACATGATGGGGGTAAAAACCTGTGATATAGTCATATAGTGTAGTGGTGCTATTCTTCGTTCAAAACTCAATAGAATTTTTTAAAGATTTATTTATTTTCACTGGGAAGGCACATTTACAAAGTGAGAAAGATCTTCCATCTACTGGTTCACCCCCAAATGGCTACAACTGCTGGAGCTGAGATAATCCAAAGCCAGGAGCCAAGAGCTTCTTCTGGGTCTCCCACACGGGTGCAGGGTCCCAAGGCTTTAGGCCATCCTTTCCTGCTTTCCCAAGCCACAAGCAGGGAGCTGAATGGGAACTGGAGCTGCCAGGACACAAACTGGTGCCCATATAGGATGGTGGTTCTTAGCAGTGAGAGGAGGCCCCTGTAACTCAACACATTTTAAGGGGGTGCTTCAGATATACAGTTGTCCCTCTAAAATTCGTAATGGTATAACTTGTATTTCAATAGGGCTTTAACAATTAGCAATATTTTCCCTCAGTAACTTGGCTGGAGGTTCAAAGTAAGAAATAGTTCCAGCATGACAAATATAATTAATATATTGTATATTTGAAAATTGCCTAAAATATACTGTAAGTGGCCTTACCATGAAACATTTTAAGAATATGAGTTGAAAGCATGTTAAATAGCTGGAGGTAACTATTCCAGTCTGTATACACAGGGCAAAATACCATGTTGCACAACCATTACCTATTAACATTTTTTTAAAAAGCAAATGAAAAAAGTTCCTAATGTCATGAGGGTAATGAGTAGAGCTTATATTCAATGGAGTAAGATTCATAGGAGAGCCATAAATTTTTTAAGAGATTAATACTATCAGTGGCTTCGAATACAGGAACAAAAGTCATACAGAATGTGCGCATTAAGCAACATGCTCCTAAATAACCCATAGATTAAAGAAGAAATAGCAGGCGATATTAAAGATATTTTGTAAAAGAAGGAGAAACAGAGAGAAAGATCATCTGTCCACAGGTTCACTCCCCAAGTGGCTCCAATGGCCAGAGCTGAGCCAATCCAAAACCAGGAGCCATGAGCTTCCTCTTCTGGGTCTCCCATGTGGGCAAAGGGTCCCAAGGCTTCGGGCTGACCTCTATTGCTTTCCCAGGCCACAAGTAGGGAGCTGGAAGGGAAGAGAAGCAACTGGGACACAAACTGACATCCATCCATGTGGGATCCCAGCGCACGCAAGGTGAGGACTTTAGCTAATAGGCTACTGCGCCAGGCCCAAGATTTGTGATTTTAAAACCTATCTAAAACTTCCCTGCCACTCA